GCAGGAGGTGTGAGTATTTTCTCAACAACTGAATCTATGCACCTTCTGATGATTCCAAGATTTTCAGACCATTCAGGTAACTTGGCAGTCATTTGTAGCGTGACAATTGTGTCCTTCCAACCTTCTAGGATGCATGATGTGAAGAAAGCCTCAAGCTTTAGCACAAAATTTCCCTTCTCAATCGACTCAGTCATCCGAAGAAACTTGGCAGCACAAAATGCAGCCACAAAGTTATGAGCACTGAGATTGATTGCTATCCCGTAGCAGAATTTGGCACACAGCTCAAAAGCATCTTCCCCTCCGGGAATATCATGGAGATCAATAGTAACATTTTCAGAATCATCAGAATCCGAGCAAAGTCTTTGCAGGAGGCCACACTTCGGAAGAAGTGGAAACTGCAGCTAAGAGCAGCAAAATTAACAAGAGTTTAAGTTTCCTTTGACTGATAAAAAGCTATCTGCACAATGATTATGCTATTTTCCCTCTGAATTAGCCATTGCAGAACCATGATTTCAAATCTAGTTGTCACAGATATAATTCTCATTTTTCAGAAGGAACAAGACAGGTTACTTCTTATAGGACTTTTCTACTAAGCACCTTCAACGCGAAGTATGGCTATATCAACCTGTTCCATAAGACATGATTCTATCATTTTCTCTTCATTTCTTTTCTCATCATGTCCTTACTGTTATCCACTTCGAAAAACTTACTATCAACTAATCGAAATAAAACTATTGAGAAGATAAATATCCAACATACACACAATCACACATAATAAAGAGCAAAATGAGAAAAAACATAAAATTTAACGTGATTCAGCAGAGATGTGTACATCACTGGGTAAGACCAAGAAGAAACTTTCTATTATGATGAAAATTGAAAGTACATCATTGATAGAGTTGTAGGCCCTTATATAAACAAACTACTAGAATTTTCATGGAAATATTCTCAAAATACACTCAGAATATTTCCAAAATCAAATCGCATTAACAAAAATCATATTGTCGAAAGTATGCATCAATGAAGAAAATAACTGGGAAGTTTTTTGTACAAACTCATACCTTGTGCAGAAGATAACTAATATTATTAATTCGTATAACAAGATCACTTGGTATCTCTGATATCAAAGTCCTGCATCACCAATTAACTAATTAACCATTTGCTTGGGCGTATAATAACAATAACAGCATAAAAATTGCAGAACAGAACAAGGTACCTGGTAGCCTCTTCTGTGTAAAATGTGTCGGGCTTTGTCCCAAGTTTCATAAACTTCATTTTTACTTCTTCTGATCACAAGGACATGACCAAGTTTCACTTCATCAGTATGCAACATACCCTGCTCTTATACTGTCTGAAAAAGAAAAAGAATTTCATGAATGAAATTTTTAGTAGATGAACCTCTGAGCCACAGTTTGCGGATGAACAAGGAAGATACAAAGCATGGTTTAAATTGAAAGAAATGTCAAAATTAAAATTTAAACCAGGAAAAAGAGAAGAAGCAATTCTCAGGAGTGAGGACATACTTACAAGTGAAAGATTTCTAAGAGGGCAAAAGGTAAATCTAACAGCTATAACATTTGACAAACATGGGTAAATGACTTAAACCCCATCATCCTGTTGTAATCAGTGACATTTCTTTTTGCTTCTTTTCACTTCAGATGACCAACAAGAAGCAAAAAATAAAATAAAACGAAGAAGAAGAAGAAGAAGAAGACGAAGAAGAAGAGAAAAGAAGGAGAAGGGAGAAGAAGAAGAAGAGAATAGAAGAGAAGGAGACGGGTGAAGAAAGGAGAGGGTTTGCTGAAACCAATTTGCAGAAGAGCAGGACAAAGCATTCCTCAATGTATAGATAAAATTAGGAAATAGGCTCCTCACCTCACCTTTTGTCCTACAAGGGTCCCATCACCCTCCCTGCTGTTTCCTCTGTGTAACCCTACAAGCCTTTAAATATGGAAGAAGGTATCTGAGCCTGAACAATGGAAATGGGAAAAAGAGAAAGAGAGAACCCAAAAAAAAAAGAAAGAAAGAAAGAAACAAGGAAAAGAAAAGAAAAGAAATCACAAAACTTTTTCCTGTCAAGCACTGGAGAAAGAGGTGAAGATAGAGGACATCAGCAGTTTATTTTCTCTCTTCTTTAAGAGTCTATCCTACAACCCATGCAAATTTGACTGTAACGTTCTTAGGAGTTCAACGAGAGTTAATTAAGCAGTTGAAGTTCATTATGATATCAGCCTTTTGGCATAAAGTCCTATTTAATAATTTTTTTTTCCAAAGCCAAATCCCTGACACCTTTTTACTAAGAAGAAACTGAACAAACCTGAGAATCTGGATTTCAATCAAAAAGATTTCATGAAAAGCCCTCCTTAGATAATCATCATTAATTGAGAGTTAATGTCAAATCCAGCCCAGATCTGCTTTCATATACAATCATATATATCCCTAGTCGTACTAACAAGCCAAGCCTAAAGAGAATGGCATCAGAGAGAAAAAGCCGAGTAAATAGCAATAAATACCAATAAAACTCTTCCAAGTTCGAGTTATATATATTTTTTTTTTCTGTGAACTTTTGTCAAGGAGATTGTATTATGATTAGTGTCTATATGTTACCTAATAATGAATTACATGAATGTCCCCTAAAAACCTTTTCTTTAAGTATGTGGCAGGGACAACAACAACCCTCTTACCAGATCCATAGTGCAACACTGGTTAGATGATGGTGAGAACCAGAAAGCAAGCTTTCACATTTTCAACAGCTTTTAGACTAGAGTAAAAAGGAATCCTAATTATGTATAAATAAAAACAGGTATTGTTAATTAATGAGTTTTATCTCATGGTACATGTGCAAACTAGCTGCTGATCTCATAATATAAAGGTCAACAGCTATGGCACATGGTCAACAGCATTACCATTTGGCTCTGTCTTATTTTTTCTGGATATAGTTGAATTAAATCTCAATTGAAGTTAATTTTCCAAATAGAAAAATCTTTCTACAGAAAGTTGAAAGTCACAAGTCTACGGTAAACAAAGCCATTAATGATCTACCTACGCTCCTACTGTCCTAAAAATGATAAACACGTTCACCCTATGCAATTCATAAACTTACCCATCTAAATTAACCCATGACAGTGATTTACTGTTCAAAAGAATTTTTTATCCATATCACCTTAACAGATCCCCTAATTCGTGTAGATACATAAATTGCAGAGCTTGTAAGTAAAAGATCCATTGTTAAATTCTCAGAATTAAGAAGTGAACCCCAAATTCGATGTGGGTTATCGATCATATTGATCATAAGGGTCACTGTTGCAACATCTAGGATTAAGTTTGACAGTAGTCAAGAAAAATCATTTCAAGTGGAAAGAGGCTGGGTTTTCAAAGTTAAAAACTCATCCAAAATCAAACAGCCAAATATGGTACATCACTATAACAAGATCATCAATTAGCTACTTGAATGTCTCCCTGTTGATATATATTAGCACATGAATAAGTAGTGAAATGCAAACCTAATTAAGCCCAGACTTTTCCTGAATGGTGAAACCCTTGCCAGAAATGATGGCGGTAGTATGAACAACGTAACCAAGTCTTTGAAATATAAAACAAAAAAAGACAGATAAACAGATAGAAAGAGAGAGAGAGAGAGAGAATGCAAAAAAATCAGTAAGATAACTTTAAACTTTGGTGAAATCAAATTATAGCAAAACCACAATGGTGCTTCGATTGCAACATTAATGATAAAGGATTCACCAAGGATAGAATCTGAATGCGCAGGAAGATTTTATACTAGAATTAGACTTTTACCCCGTGTGAAAAGATGAATGATGGCAAGAACCTATAATAAATATATTTACAATTTAACAATAGGAGTATCTGACTAAATCCTCTAAATGAGGAATCAAATCTCAATTAGATATAGGTGGATATAAGAATTGATTAACTTTCCTAACTAACCATCCAAATGTTCTTAATGCAATTGATGTACTACATTGAAAGGGAAAGCATAATATAGAAGTCTGACTAGTACATATTTCTTTCTATTTATTGTTACTGTTATTATTATTTCATGAAAAAAGATCTATAATAAGTGGCTTAGATCTGCTCACGTAGCTGTCACACATGCTTTTGAGATTAGAGTATCAGTATACACTTCTAATATATACCAAGAAAAATACAATAATATAAAAAAGATAAACAAAAAAGAAAAAGAAGGAAGAAGAAGATATGATCATTATGAATTCTTTCCTCTTGCTCATGAAAAGAAAAGCATTGCAGTAATGAGGAAAGAAATAATGGTGATGTTGGTCCAGTTGGGTTTGATCAGATTATTGAGTGGTTGAAAAATCTTACCTACTGGTCTATGCTTTCACAGGCAAATGGGGGAGAAAAGAAAAGGCAAAATAAAAGAGAGAAGCATATTGCCAATGTAGCATGGAATCAAAAGTACTTGTAGTAAAGGTTTTTGAGGTTCTTCTTCCTAACAAAAAAAATATAACAGAAACTTTTTCCCTAAAAAGCTGAAAGCTTACCTAGATCCCAACACCAACAATCGTCAAATATATATATATATATATATAATATAAATATATATACCATTCACCTATTTCAAGCTTTTTCTTTTTTCCCATTGAGAATCAAATCAATAGCCTCTCTACTCTTGTTGGTAATTGAATACACTCTTTCTTATGGCGCTCTAGGTTAACTACTTGTGTCAAAATTCACTTTTGAAATTTATAAAGAGCTCCTCACTATAACCCAGAAGGGTCCTAAGATTCTTCTTCTTGTCCAGATTCTCTTTGGAATTTTTCAATTAAAAAGCCTACAGCAAATGTTCCTTTTCATATGTATAGATGATGTATCACCTAGAAAGCAGAATCTCTAGATTATATAATATAAATATATATATATATATACTCACTCCACCATGACAAAATGGAAAAAGAAGCTTTTGTTGGGCTTTTTCATTTTAATACTGGCAAACAAAAACAAGTCAAGAAAAAGATCTCCTTGAATCAAAACCACTCCAATCAATATCATCCCCCTCATATACTAACAGAATCAAGCACCAACACGAGTGGGGCTCAGCTAAAGAAGATACACACACATATACAATCACTCGCACACAAACATCCAAAAGGAAAGAAGGTGAAACTGTAATAATTTCAAAGAGAGAAATGATTAACAACCTACCTACAAAATCTTGATGTTATTTTGTTTATCCAATCCCAAGCAGCATACAACTCCAACCTGCTCTTCTTCTCCCCCTAAAAAGCTGCAAATTTAGCCTTTAAATTCAACTGAGTGCAAGCTATTAGAAAGCAAAACAGGGCAGTGCAGGGCAGCAAACACTCTCTGAGACATTAAATCATATATGTTATAGGCACCGGCTTTTGAGCATGTACTTGGGTACACAAGGAAAATAGCGGTGGTCATTTCATGCATGTATATACATATATGTATGTGTTTATATGCTTATATGTGTGTGTATACAAATATGGCTGTATCTAAATCTTTTTAAAACACACAGAGAGAGAGAAAGAGAGATAGGAACAAAGGTTATGAATTGTGTTTAAAGAGGAAATGAAGCAGACAAACACATAAGTATAGGTAACTGGATTTACCTGTGTTCCAACATAGATAGAGATAGATATAGAGAGAGAGAGAGAGAGAGAGAGAGAGTGGTTGGTTGTAATTATTCAACATGTAATTTGTCTTAAGAGCATGCTATCATAAAATTCCTCATCACAAATTCAATAAAACACCAAATTAATTTATAAAAAAATAACCCAAATATATTTTCTCAAATCATTACTCAGATTTTAACCCGATATATTTTTTTTATCGTAACAAGAGATGAATCATAATCTATTTTTTCTGATAAAATACTCGATTTGCACTATAATGAATGAAATTTCTTATTCAATTTTATTATAATTTGAATAAAATGAAAGGATTTAATAATTTTAATAAAAAAATTTAACCGTAATATTTAAAAATAAATTAAATTAAAGAAATATTTATAAAAATTTAAAAAAAAAAAGAAAAAAATTATGTAATCTATTCGTGATTATTTCAAATTTTTCTATTACCACAAAACGTTTTCTTTGTTCTTTTCCAAACTATACAAATTTTTTTAAAAATATATTTAATAATATTTTTATAAATAGATCTTATATATAATAATATAATAAAGTATTATATGAATGATCGTAAACATCATGACTTATTATAATATTCAATATTATAAAACGATCACTGTTAACTCGTTAGAAACTTATAAAATATCATAAAAATTTTAATAACTAAACTATCGTATTAACAGTAAAATATTTGTCGATCAATTTTTAATGGTGATTCCTAGCATATTTGACCTATATAAATATATATATATATATAAAGGGGGAGAAGAAAAATTAAGGAGCAGCCTGTTGTCTAGAGATATCTAAAGAGATGATTATATTGAAAATGGTGGTGTATGATTGAAAGGCATGCAATGCAAGTGGGAAGTGGCCTTCACAGGAGGAGGTAAGTCAGTGTAATGGTAGTATTGGGGGTTTGTGGGTCCCCATAAAGGAAGATGATGATCATCATAGCAATCCCCACCTACCTTGGGTATATTCTTCTTGACCTGTAAGTGAAATGGTAGCCTTTGATTTTCATTGCCGGCCACGTGTCTTGTCGTGTACCGTTGGTTGGGGTGCTCCCACATCAACTCTGATGGGACTGGTCTCCTTGTTGTTGTTTTCCAGTTTACGTGCGTGCGCGTGCATTTACACGTGTGTCGCTGTTGTGGGTCCCGTTTTGATTTTGAAGGGCAGAAGAGAGAGAGAGAGAGAGAGAGGCTTCGAGTTCAAGCCCCCCTTCGAAAGGGATGTTTCAACCGCCGGTAAAAATTATTCAAAAGTATTATATGCTTCAAAGTTAAATAATATACGGTTTTACTCGTGGTAAAATTTAATTTTTAAAAATTTACTAGTTAAATATTTTTAAAATAATTTACTCTTAGAATTAATATTGTGTCTCGAATATGCCAAATACTTTCTTGTCTGACCCAAGAGTTTAAATTTCTCTACCGTAAATTTTATATGGTACCCAATTCTTCTCCCTGATTTATTAATCTTTAACCGTGTATTTACGTAACGTTACTTTATAGGTAAGCTTAGTATCTTGTCATTTATTTTTGAAAAGAAGAAAACAACATGACTGGTTAAGATGATCAAAAGACTAAAAGTTTCGTTGGATGAGAAAATGCATGGTTTTATCAAAAAATATTAACATTTCCAATACATAATACTATAATGTAATACTATATAAAGTATTTAATAGTCAAAGTTATTTCTGAGGTTAGTTATCTAAATCTTACCTTTTATCACTTAATTTACTCATTTTTTAGAAGATATTTTTGATCTCGCCTTTTTACTCCTTACACTTATTCATAATGTACGTCGAACCATTATAAAAGACAATATTTTGATATATTTAGTTTGTTATTTGATCTTTAGTTGTGGAGATTATTCGATAAAACTATTATTCTCAATCTATATTAGGATTTAAGAATGAAATATGTTCAATGGGTTATAGTATATTATTTCTTTGGGTGCTTATAGACTTAGTGTTTCGCACAAGAATTTGTCTATCCTTCCTCGTTTGGCATCTCCTTTGTCCCTAAGGCTAAATTTCACATTCTCTACTCTCTTTTATATAAGTTCTCACTTTTTAACTATAAGAACATCATACTTTTTACGTTCATGTATTTCTTTTAGTGTAAATCTTCTCATATTCCTAGCCAATGTCTAGTATTAGTGTAATACCCAAGCTCGAAATTTGATCTGAGATCAAATTTTAGTATAAAAAAATAAATAAAAAATTATTTTTTAAATCAATTTAACTTAATTTATTAATTAATTGAAAAAAATATGTTATGAATATAATTGAAAGCAATTTTACAAGAAATGGGTGAAAATTTAAATTTAGGAGGTATTTTTTTAAAAAAATTAAAAATATAGAGTAAAATTATAAATAAAAAAAGTTCGACCATGTAGGACTGTCCAGTCAGCAGTCCCGATGAACCGGAGCACTCCGCATGACAAGGTATGCTGACGTCGGTGTCATGCGGGAGGCCACGTGGGTGATACGTGTGCCCCGTGATCGGGCGGCCTAGGATCGATCCCGTACGCTTGGACGATCCGGATTTATTTCTCTCTTAGGTGTGATTAGACGGTCGAGATTAATCGTGATGAACCATCTAGATTTATTTTCTCTTTAGGCACAATCGAATGAACGATATCAATCACGATGAACGATCTATATCGACGCATGATGGGTATAAATATTTTGTGTTACACAGAAATCTAAACCCTATCCGCTAGCCCCAACCGGAGAAGAAGAACTAGGCACTGAAGAAGGAGGCCGACTATCGGCCGCCAAAAAAGATAAAAATTCTTTCTATCCACTCGAAATTCGATTCCGAGCACCCATGTGGCTAAATCAGAGTAAAAGAGACAGTGGGTGAGCCAGAAACTGCGAGCAAAATCCGACGGAGCTGCCGCGACCAAACTCCAAAATTCCTCCGACGAGCCCCTTTTCGTTTCTCATTTTACGCGATTTTTCAATCATTGTACTCACTGTTCTTTTCTGTACAAGTTAGCTGAATAAAAAATCCAGCCATAAAGGAGGACCGGTGGAGCCGCCGCACTCAATGACCCCCCATCGGTAGGTTTGGTGTTTTTATTGATTTTTTGGCCAATTGAGGCCCCATAATATTTTTTTATAGGGATACGTGTAAAGCCAACCAAAATTAGCAAAAAATCAGCCTAGCCGAGGTAGACTGCCGCCATGGGCGACGGAGCTGATGCCGAAGCACGGCGGCATCGTCGTGCCGGAACTCCAAATTTGCCCAGAGAGAGTTTTGGACACTTATTTTTTATTTTTGATATATTTTTATATACGTGATGAGTGTTTTGAATTCCACATGAAAAATTCAGAAAACTCGGTACCTATTAGGAGGCGTGGTAGACAGCGCAACGTATCGAAACACCGATCTCAATAAGGATCCCTCACTCTATTCTCTGCTACGGTAAATTGAGGCTTAACAATATATAATTTCGTATTTTTGTAAAAATTTAAAAAATTCTAAAAATAATTATAGTTTACTAGTGGAGGCGGAACTTATTAGTTCACAATTGTCTTTATTTTATGTTTATTTTCTTGTACTATCCTACTTGCTTGATTTTCCATAGTACATGTTATTAATTTATAGTTTCAATGATCTTATCGACTTATCTGTTTATTTTGATTGTATACCGTTAGCATGAATGTAGTTTAATTGATC